TTTATTCCCGTACTCTTTATCATTTCCCATCACTTTGTATAAGTAAAGGCTTTGTATATGTTACAGGTTTTGGAGAATGGCTGCTACATTTGGCTGCTGTTCTAGCAGTGAAATTATAAAAGTTGTTTATATACTACATCATGGACTTCTAAATCAATCTTACAGCCACAAACCGTCAGTTTGGGACTTTGCATGTAAAACCCTGAATGACCATATCAAGTTAACCGCTTTAGGAGTCAAATAACTAACTAAAGAGCCCCCTTTAGGCAGTTATTTGACTAAATGAAATATTGACTATCAAATATTGAAAGCAACGTTAAGGTTTGATGTCATATAATAAATTAACTAACTGGCTAGTAAAAGTTTCAAAATGACTTGTGGGTCCTTTGTTAAACCGAAATTGATCATTAGGGGCATTAAATAAGTAACAGTATTTGGTTGCTTTAGTCGTACTATAAGTAGTATGTCAGACAAATGATGACAAACACAAAGTTCTTCAATACGGCTTTTAAAATAATGTTTTTCAAACTACAAACTGCCTGAAGGGCTTCGTTTTGATAGTGGCTTGCAGCTCAGTACTTCACAGTATCATAGTTTGGAAATATATGTTGTAAGCTGAGCTTTATATTAAAAGCTCCTGAATAGCTAGTGAATAGGTTTGTTCAGACAGTGATGAATCTTAAAAATCTTTAATACTAAACTAAGAAAGTAGCTAATAAGTTAGTTCAGTCTAGCAGCCACAAGAATGCATCCATGGTTTAAAAAATCTATCTGAATATCACATTTTGAAAATATTTGCAGTTTGCATTGTGGGCTAGTCAGTTACTAAGAGACTAGCAGTCATTTAAGATTTTGCATGTGAGATTCTGGATAGTCAGTAAGTTGAGAAAGTTGACTTAAAGTTAGATAACTCAGCTATTTTAGGAGTCAAATAATTGTGTAAAGGGGGGAAATATTGCAGATAGTGAAACTTTAAAAGAGGGAAGTGAGGCATGAGGGGGAGAAAAGTTAGCTAGTAAAAGTTTTAAAACTGGCTTGTGAGTATAAGCTATTCTAACACCTCGTTTGTTAACTTTAACTGTATAGCAGTTGGGGGAAAAGTACCTGGTAAGTTGGACTTCATTTTAAAAGCACTTAAACAGCAGATGGGTTTGGGATTTGTTTGCCGAGCTCAATCCATTCCTGAAAATTGAATAAAGCGCTGAAACTGAAAAAGTTTCATAGCTTTAGGAATCAATCAAGAATCTGAAGAACACTATTGGTTTGTTTTTAATCTTACATACTATCATAGTTTGAATTTGGTTTGTGGACTTGTTAAAATTCACAACATAGTGATTTGGAGATAAATATAAAATAGCAAATACTGAATGCAGCAATTTAGGCACACAAAAAATATTACATTGGCTTGTAAAAGGTTCAGTTTGGCTAGAGAGTTTAAAGTGTTCTAGCTCCTCCGTTGTTAAACTCAAATTACTTAGAGACTTCACAGGTGTTGAAAAGCACCTAAAAAGGATTTTATAGTCTAGTTCTTTTAATATTTGTCTTCTGAATCATTCCTTACATTTTTAAAATTCGACAAAGCCACTAAACTGATAAAGTGGATATCAAATTTTAAAAGTAAATTTTAGGTTTGTGTAAAGTTGCTATAGTCATCTTTTGGAGACACTTTAATGAGTTTATTAAGTCAAAAGTCATCAATGGCCACTAAATCTTGAGAAAGTTGCTTAAATGCGAATCAACATTAAGCATATTCTTAAAACGATTTCATTTATGAAACTGCGTATACCATCAAACATACTCACAAAGACAGTAGGAGCTTATTTGATTGGCAATGCGAAGATTTTATTTTATTTATTTTTTGGTGCTTTGTCCCACTGTAGCTGCTGCTTTGCTTAACCCCTGATATTGTCGACTTGTTTTTTCTTGTTAGAAAAAAAAATGCTGGTAGTTTTCTGTCTAATTATTCTTTTTTTCATTTGCTCTCAAAATCTCTAAATCTGAAAAATGGCTATTAAGATAATGAAATTCAAACAGTCTATCCTTCTTAAAGGTCTAAACGGCTATCAGATTTTAAAATTCAACTTTTAATTGGCTCATAAAGACATTCAAAAATAGCTTGTGAGTTTTCATTTAGACGTCACATTGGAAACCTCTTTCAATAGTTTGAAGTCAGAGTGTTTAATAAAACTGTAGATTTTACATGTTTTATGTGTTATTTACATCTACGTTTATTTGATGTTTTGGTAAAAATTACATCGAGGTCAAAATGGTTAAAATGACTAATACGTATCTTAAAATAGTTGCTGGTAGGCAAGTAATTAAAATTACTTTTAACTGACTTTAAATGTTAGCTTGTAGTTGCCGTAGCTCTTTGTAGGTTTACATGTATTCAGCATGAGAAGCAAATCTAAATCATTGTAGATGTAGAAATGATCAGTTAAACAGTGCAACAGAAGAGTTTGTCGGATGTGCATCATGACATGTTGAATGTTGGGTTGTTTGGACGTTGGTGATACGAATTTAATTAAATGGTCAGTTTGTGACTTAGTCAGTCAATATTTCTGTAGCGAGGGGACAAAGAAGGCTGTTTATTCTTATCTTGGGTGGCTGTCAGAAGAATTCAGAGACGCACTGCAGTAATATTTACATAGCAGTTCTGCAGAGTTGCTCAACCATTAAAGGCTCATATGTTGTTTTTCTCTGTGGTTTTACTCCTAGTATATCTGTGTTATGCCAAAGTGAGCACGGTGACAATAACAAAAAAGTATTCAGAGAGCCCTGACAACGAAATACTTGTAGCCGTTTAGTTTAACAGTGCTCTTTTAGTGTTTCGAATGTCACTGGCCTGCAGGTCTTTCCTGTTTAGCAAAGAGGCTATTCAGGAAAAACTGAAGTTCAGTTTGTCCTTTTAGCACATTTTTTTAGAAGATGTTGTTTTAAGTAAATGTGAGAAGCTTTTTTAAGACTTATTGAGACCAATACTGAACTAAAACATAGTGAAATTTAAATAAATACACTAAATGGTCCAGTGGTTAGTCTTTTCTGAGGCACAGGAATGTTTAGTATTTTATTCCTGTGACTTCACATTTGCAGCACAAATATAACTCTGTGTGAGTCATAAAAATTAAGTGGCATCAGTGGATATTTCTCTTTAGAGTGCACCTTAATCAGCATGTTTCATCTTTATGACAGTTTTTTAAAGCATCCATTCATTTTCTTAATGGCTCATCTATTTACGGTCTCTTAGGTGATGGAGTCTATTCATGTTGATTTTGGGATGATGATGAGGTACATGACAGGTCATCAGAACATGAATGGATCGCTAAACAAGTCCAACATTTCTTAAAGTTTAATGGAAATACTTCAAATAATAAAATAAGATACAAATATGAAGGAGAGTCAGGTGAAGTCCACAACCTCTTTTGATCAGGAGTTCACAGTTATAACAGTCCAAGAAATTCTGGTGATCTGTACGTTCTCCTTCGAGAACAGCCATGAAAACTCATTCATCACAAGTGTGAGCTTAAAAGAAAAATACATCAAACTAATCATTCCCTTTATCATCCTCTAGACATCGACGGAAGCTGTTTGTTATTACTAGAGTAAAAATCAGATAGCAATATCCTTGGTACCAAGAAAAACACGGTGCAACAGGGGATTTGGTTGCCAACTGGTTGTATTCTGGGTATATTCGAATAAAAAAAATTAGAATTGTGAATGCCTATGTCATGTTGCAGTTAAATAACTGTCCTGAGAAACTATGCAAGAATTTCTGTTTCGGATTTTTTAGGTTGTGGCTGGACTGTAGATGTGAGTAGTTAATTTCTGTATATGCAGACAGCGACAGAGTTCAGATTTGACGAGTTTATCACAGTTAATCGCTGCATTGCCACAAACCGATTGGCAACTTGACCCCATTCAATCACAAACTGACAACAGACTGACTTCATGTTATTGCCGTTTCATCACAGCAAACCAAAGCCTCTTTGAAGATTGCAACTAACTGTGAGTGGTTGTCTTTAAAGCAACCACTTCAAAGGCAACAAGTTCCCAAATTCATTGTGTTCAGTAATAATATTGGTCATGCTATCCCAGCAACTGTTTTACCAAGTGTGACTGTAGCATAACAGCCGCTATTAGGTCTCATTTTTGATGTTGGGTTGTGGCATTAGCAAGATGGCAAGATTTCTGTCAAAGATTAATGGTCTAATGGTGTGTTTTAATACCAAACAGACCTAACCAAGTACTTTTTAGTGTCTAAACCTAACCAACAAGTGAACATAAATGAAGGTCAGAGGTACTAACGGCTGAAATGCCTCTTAACTCCACCACTCCTTCAACCTCCTAACAAACATTTTTTGATGGTCAATACTGACAGGGATAGTCATACACCTTGAATAGCATTGGTGGCATTATGTGACACAGCAGGATGAAAGTATGCTGTGCAAGTCTATTACAGTGCAGATGGAGACAACCATCAATTCCTGCACTGAATCCATAATTAATTCAATATGCATGTATTTGGACTATTGGAAGAAATCCATGCAGGCACAGGGAAAACATGCAAACTCCACAAAAGAAAAATGTAATGAAACATATAACAAAAAAGTGCTAGATATATAGTTTAGTATAAGAACTGAAGGCAACCAAGAAAGACAAACTCCAAAAGTACAAAACAAGACCACAAGTAAAGAACACAGGAAGGCAACAAAACAATCTGACATACACAAAGGAGGGGAAAGAACAAAAGCAGGAAGTCAAACCAAAGCCAGACTAACTTTCAAAGTAAAACAGGAAGGCAAAAACTAACACCATTTTCTTGTTAAGAAACCATCTTTATTTGTCTAAAAGAAGACGGTTCACATTAATAACCAGGCTGAAGGTAAGGATTATTCAGCACAGGACGTGCACAAGGGCCAAACAACAAAAACACACATACACACACACACTGAAGTGCTCCTCTGTGTGTTAACAGATGATGCAAGAGGCGTTGTCAGCTGCATGCACTCAGACATCTGCAGGCTGTTTAGGATCAGAGAGGTGGAGTCAGCTCCGCTATTGGCCAGAGGGGGAACAGATCTCGACCCTGGGGACTGACACCACACCCATCCGTATGTGTGTTTGTGAGTGTGTTTTGAATTGTGTGTGTTGTCCAACGTACACTCTGTCGGCGTAAGAAGAGTTGCCTGCTGACTCTCAGAAACTGGTGAGCTTCTTTTTGTCTTTATGTCAAAATCCCTGCTGTGGTTTTGTGTTGCTTTGAGCAGAACGAGCTGCTCTGCAAACAAACTGTTGGGCACTTTGTTTTCAGGTTATAGTCAGTGGTCAACAATCTGTTCTCACTTATTTTAAAAGTTGCATGTGTGAAACTAAAGTACTGCTTTAGTGGAAACAAATAAAAACCTTAGGCACCTCAGTTAGGGATGTTTAGAGAGCATTAAACTCAAATAACCTGGTGATTAAAGTGTCATATTTGTGCATTACACTTTAATGCTCTGCAGCTGTTTACCCGAAGCATGACTCTTGTTATGGAGGCAAACGTCAACGCTTTGGATGCATTTTAGTGCGACACCTCGAGTTCATGAGTCAGGAAAAAATGGATTTCCCTTGAAAGGCTCTATTGTGTGGTGAAATGTGCTAAGATGGAGCATTTTGCAAATGAAATGTTCACCGGGTCAGAAAAACCCTGACACAATTGGAGATCCTGACTAGATTTCTCACTTGCAGACACAAACTTAGTTCACTGCTGTCAAAACATCTGGCAGAGAATTCAAATCTGCCTCTGAGAAAAAAGTTCCTGCGGGGATCAAGATACAATAAGTTAATACTAATCACTTTAAAAGGAAGGGTTATACAACTGTTGGTTTGGGTTTCCAGCTTTTTTCCTGGATATGCTCCTCATAACATTGATTTAAGAATTTCCTGATCATAAGCCTCAAGGAGTCACATGAGGTAATGGGATAAAATGAAAACTGAACATTATTTCAGGCACCTTTGTGTATTGAGTTTCTAATATGTTAGGATCCAAGTTAGGGTGTTGTTTGTGGTGGGAAAAGCTTAATGTGTGCACTGACAAGACTGTAAAGATGTCAGGCAAGAAAATGAAAGTCTGACCTGGTACCAATGTTGCTTTTTTGGTGTCAGGGAAACAAACAAGCACAAGGTAAGTTGAACAAAAACAGATGAACACTGGTCATTGGCTTTGCAGTCAACAAAATCAATACCCATGTTCAGAGGATGCTGAGGCATCTCTAAACCTGAACTCTTGATTCAACAATCTGGGTCACTTTTTTAATAGACAGAAATTTGTTGATCATCATCATTATACCAAACTCATTAAGGTTGAGGAGGAAGCTATGGCTCAGGAGGTAGAGTGGGCCATCCATCCATCCACCCATCCATCCATCAGATAGTCAGTGATTGGATACCAAGCTCCTACAGCATATGTGTCAAAGTGTCCTTAAGCAAGACACTGAACCCCCAGTTCCTCCCAATGCATCTATCAGACTGTTTGAGTACCCATGATAACAGAATAAAGTACTGGATGAAGGTGTTTGGATGGTGAATGGGGTTGGTAGTAAAACACTCCTTTCCATAAGTATCAGTCCGTTAAGCAGCCGCTACGTCCATCGTCATCACAAAGTTCTAGCCAATGATTACTGAACTTACAAAAATTCCCAGACTGCACTGCATCTTCAAACTTGATCTTGATTACGAGTGCACATCTGTAAAGTGTCATTAGAGTCAGACTCAATGGGTGGAAGCAACACAAAGTATTATGTAAGGCCTGTAGCCATTTCTCTCATGCTCGTCTCAACAATTTCTAGTTTATATTTGCTGGAAACACATATCTATGTCAATGTTCAGAAGGAGAGAGCATTTAAATCCCTGACAAGACATTAAAATGAACAAATATAGGAAGCGGTAAATGCATTAGCGTCTATTATCGCTAATATGACTGGTTGATACACTAGTCATTAAAACCAGCTTACCATCATTAAACTTGGGATTTTACCAGCTGTGGCTGCATAAACTTAAGTCGCTGATCACAGCAAGGATTGACCAGGGATTAGCCTGCCAGAATCCAGGGGGCCATATAAACTGTATCCATGATGTTTAGCCATGTTTATGTCCTTTTTCTTTCTTGACAGTCAGCAAAACTTTAAAACTACTTCTTACCTCCTGAACAAGTAGTTTTTAACACCTAAGCCTAACAGAATAGTTTCTGTGGCCTTTATTGCTTAAAGCTAAATAAATAGATTTTAATGAGAATTAATAACACAATAAACCAATCAAACCAATATCCCCAATTATCACGAGCTGTGGGTTGTGACCTAAAGAATGAGATCCCACATACAAGCAGCTGAAATGACATTCCTCCAAAGTGTGGCTGGGATCAACTTTAGAGAGACGGTGAGGAGCTCGGTCTTTAATAAAGGGCTCAGAGTAGAGTGGGAACGTCCTACGTGAGGAGGCCCCAGGCCAGAGCCAGGACATGCTGGAGAGATTAAATCAGCAGATGGTCCAGCGTAAAATAACTAAAATATTGCAGCGAAAATGCAGCTAATTAAGAGGAAAATTTGTAGGAAATTAGCTGCACTAGCTGTAAATGAAATTATCATCAGTTTAACTGCAAGAAGAATTTTATTCATAAATCATGCTGTTTCTTCACAGGTCACTTCAGCATGAACGCTCACGCAACAGTGCCCCCTTTGTCAGGAACAAGCCCCTCTCCTTTTTCAGACCTTGTGACCAAGATAGGACCCAAGGGTATGTGCCTGGAAAATGTGTGAATTGTCTTTTATTTTATTTCACCATAACATTTGTTCAATAAACATGACTATAGCATAAGCAGACCACAGGGAAACATCACTCATCTATCTGCTGTCTGTTGTTGCTGCTTAAATATTTTTTTTACACTTTTATTATTATTTTAATTTGTTTGATAAGTTGTATATGTGTTTATTCAAAATCTTAACAGTGTTCATAAAGAGATTAGTTGATTTATATTTTATATTAATCTAATTCTGCTACACAGGATTACAGTTATAATAAAATATTCGCATTTGTATAGTTATTTCTTATGAATAAATCAAAAACAAATACAAAAGAGTTGGTGCGCTACAGGATTTGTTGACATCTTGAAAGAGCAATTTGCCGGTTTAGCTACAGCTGTTATTTCTCCTGTGCACTGGTGGGTGTATTGATTCATCACAGATGACAAAGATGACCTACAGGAGGATCCAGAGTTTTATGACAAAGTGCTGATTTTTTTATTTTCAGTTTAATGTCAGGTACTGTAGAGATTATCGTGTATTTGTAAATGTCATGGTTACATTTCACACAGTGCATTCCATAATGATTCAAGACTATTCTGTATATGAGCACTGTACATGTCTGTGTCCGATGTCTGATTATCGAAGAAGACCACTAAAATCACGGTGATTAATGCCTATCAAAGATTTTTTTCATTAGGATCTGTATTGGTCATGATGTCTGCACAGACTGGAGCTGGAGTCCATGTGCAGAACTCAATGGGACACTGGAAAAGTAGCTGATTGCCCCACTAATCACAAAATAATTGCCTTATAAATTGTATAATTGCACCATTATTTTTGCTTGAATGACAAATTTAAACCAGCCCCAAAAATCTTATCACATGCATAATCATTTTTTTAATAGATTTAGATTTTAGGACACTAAAATTCAACATCCAGTTTGTGGGACAAACACCCTGCAAACACAGTGAACCAGCCGAGATGTTTGTGTGCGTTAGCAGGGAGTGTCTTATCAGCCCGATGTCAGAGTGGAGCATGGGAAGGAGCGAGCGTGACGCCTCGGGGGGTCTGTCGCTGTGGAGATAAGGGCCTAAAACGCTTGTACCTGTCCTCGTTTCCACAGCAGGGCCTGGCAGGACCAACGCAGCCTAGAAATAACTTTTATATTGAACTGCAACAGCCAAAGGGTCTTTTCTTAAGTGTTGTTAAACACTTAGTGTTCTCTGCTTCTTTTTAGAAGATGCAAGAATGCTTGATTAATATTAGACACATCAGATATAGAGATTTAACACATATGAACAACAAATTGCTGAATTCTGCTGTTAATAAGTCATCGTGTACACAGGTATCTTTCAAAAAACTGTGATTTTCAATTTCAGTTTGAAAGGTCTATCGACGTGAAATGCAAAAAAATGATGTTAAGCATTGTCAAGATGCCATAGCAACAGGTGGCGATACAGAAACACTGGCCAATCAGAAGCCTACAAACAGAAACAAACTGTAACATGCCATTGCAAAATAACCTGCAGTGCAAAAGTCTTGAGAAACATTTCTTTATATTTTTGCTTCCAAGGAGCCAGAATTTCCAGTAATGTTATAAAGTTCTCTTGAGCAACAGATCTTTAGGCCTTCTGAAGTTTTTTCTGTGGATATTGGCTGCTTTTTCACTCATTTTCACTTAAGGCACTTAACTCAAGGGATGATCCAGTGTTCCATCCATCCATCCATTCACTTCCGCTTATCCTTTTCAGGGTCGGGGGGGGCGCTGGAGCCTATCCCAGCTGTCATAGGGC